TTGTAATATTTTTCTAAATAAATCTTTTGAAAATCAATTTCTTCTTTAATTTTAAATTCATTTGGTAAAAATAAACATTGAATAGAACATAAATAATTTTTTTCAAGTGTTTTTTCGAAATTTTCTTTTGAATATACACAAATATCATATTGATTCCATAGTTTATATAATTCAAATGCATGAAAATAATCGAGATCACAATGAAATTTAAGTGGATCTTGATGTGTATGTGTTACAATGATAAGATCTCGATCAGATGTTGGTAAGTTAGTACCATATACCCATGAACCATGATGATATATATTAGCTACATCTTGTTCATTTAAGTTAAGTTCTTGTAAAATTGAAGAAATAGCAGAGTGATCCATTTGGTATGTGTGTAGCTATTCATTTACCTTTCTACCTATTTATAAAAAAAAATATTTCAGTTATATGTTGCAATTTTGACATTCAATTACTAATTTTTTCTTCGAAATATTTTATGAATTATTATTATCCTACGTTATATTACCGGTTTTTTTCTCTAAAGTATTTTATGAGTTACTTGATATTATCCAACATAAGATAAGAAAAGATTAGAATTTTTTATGTTATAAAATTTGATTTAAACAGTCAGTAACGACATCTGTCAATAAAATTTATATTAAAACGTTCTTTTGCCTGATAATTATGTATAAAAATGAATCGTAAATCATAGACAGACGAAGAGTCACACCTTCTAATATCATTCGATCTAGTAATCACATGTTCATATCTAAGTATCATCTAGTACAATAAGAAAAAGAAAGGAAAACATTTACATATATAATCGAAGATAGATTCATTATACTGTACAACTTAAATTGTTTGTTTCTTCTTACAAAGATAAGTACTTCAATTGAACAATGCTAGTTAGATCATATTTTAAAATCAATCGTTTTCATTTACCTCGATTGTCATGTCTTGCCTTTCAACATTCATTACCAAGAAAAACAAACGCATTTAGTCATCAAAGTTTAGACACAAACGCAAGTATGAATAGTGAGAAAATGTCACTTCCTCGATATCCAACTGGTTACGATCTTTTACTTGATCGACGTATTAATAAAGTAAATTAATAGAGCAAATCAAAAAGCTCAATATTAAGTTTTCTAATTTATTATTCAGGGTACAGCATTTACAATTGAAGAACGTCAATTATATCGTATACATGGTTTATTACCTCCAACGATTTCAACACCTCAACTTCAAGTTGAAAGATTTATTGAAAATTTACGTAATATGCCTGATGATCTATCAAGATATATTTCATTAGGTGCATTACAAGATCGAAATGAAAAATTATTTTATCGTGTAGCAATGGAATATACACAAGAAATTATGCCACTTGTTTATACACCAACTGTTGGTTTAGCTTGTCAAAAATATGGTTTAATATTTTCTAAACCAAAGTAAATCTTCGTTGTTTTTTTTCTTAAATTATTTTCAATTTTTATTTTCTATTAGAGGTTTATTTATATCAATCTTAGATAAAGGTCATATCTATGATGTTTTTTGTAATTGGCCAGTTGATGATGTTCGAGTAAGTTTAGGAAATAAAATAGTTTTCTGGTTTTTCTTATTTTAATCAAATTTTAGGCTATTGTTGTTACTGATGGAGAACGTATATTAGGTTTAGGTGATTTAGGTTGTAATGGTATGGGTATACCTGTTGGCAAATTAAGTTTATATACAGCATTAGCTGGTGTACCACCTGAATACTGTTTACCAATCGCACTTGATGTTGGCACTAATAATGGAGTAAATAGAAATAATTTTTATTGTTATTTTTCTCTTATTTCTTTTATTTAGAATATTCTTAACGATAAATATTATTTGGGTTTACGACAAACACGTGTTACAGGAAAAGAATATGATGATTTTATTGATGAATTCATGCAAGCAGTTGTTAAACGGTAATCAATAAAATCATCTTTGTTTTTACATCTATTAAAATAAATTTTGAATATTTAGATTTGGACAACAATGTTTAATTCAATTTGAAGATTTTGCTGTAAGTAAATAATTAATACGAATAGAGAGAGAAAAGAAAAACATTCTTTTATTTTTCAATAGAATCATAATGCTTTTCGTCTTCTTAAAAAATATCGTGATATTTATTGTACATTTAATGATGATATACAAGGTACAGCTAGTGTTGCTGTTGCTGGAATTCTTAGTGCTATTCGAATAACTGGAAAAAATTTAATTGATAATCGATTTGTATTTTATGGTGCTGGAGAAGTATGTTTTTAATTTATTAAAATGCAGAATTAATTTAATTTAGTAATGATTAAATTAGGCATCAATTGGTATATCAAATTTACTTGTTGTTGCTTTAGAACGTGAAGGTTTATCAACGGAAGAAGCACGAAAAAAAATTTTCTTAGTTGATTCAAAAGGACTTATTGTCAAGAATCGACCAGCTGGTGGATTAAGTGAAGAAAAACAACGATATGCACATGAACATGAACCAATTCGAAATTTAATTGATGTTATTCAAATTGTAAAACCTTCATTTCTTATTGGTATTTATTTAATTTGATATTATTTCAATTTTCAATTCTTTTCTCATATTAGGTGCTGCTGGTCAAGGTCCAGCATTTACACATGATATTCTTCAATTAATGAGTTTAATTAATCAACGTCCAGTTATATTTGCTCTATCAAATCCAACATCAAAAGCAGAATGTACAGCACGTGAAGCTTATGAAGCAACAAATGGTCAATGTGTTTTTGCTTCGGGTTCTCCATTTCCTAACGTTGAATACAATGGTAAAACATATATACCAGGACAAGGAAATAATTCTTATATATTTCCTGGTGTTGGCCTTGCAATTGTAACATGTGGTATTCGACATATACCCGATGAATTATTTTATTTAGCTGCTAAAACACTTTCACAACAAGTTACAAATGATGATTTACAAGTTGGTCTTGTTTATCCACCTATTGAAAAAATTCGAGATGTATCAAGAAAAATAGCAGTCGTATTAGCAGAATATGCTTATGAAAAAAATATAGCATCACTTTATCCAAAACCAAATCATTTAGAAAAATTTATTCAAACAAAACAATATACAGTTGAATATCAAGATATTTTACCAGCTCGATGGAGTTGGGCCAACTAAATCAATTTCAAAATTATTTTTTACTTAATAATGTCATTTGTATATAAATACTCTGTCTTTATTTAAATGTATAATATAAAGATATAATAAAGCTTTAATCATCAAAATATAGGTCATTCGATACACGTTGGAACAAGAGTTTAATCAATGTAGAACTTCAGTATATGTCGCGTTTAAACAAATATGTTAGAAATGGTTCCTCTTGAGAATAGAATGTTTTGAAATTAATATTAACACGCATTTAATAATGTTTATAGACGTCAATGTTAAGGTGTTTCATACCTGGATTAAAATATAACAAAATAATATTAATTGCAATTGAATTCTCTTGAGAATTTAAGAAACTATTTAACTCAATAGTTATTTTTTGATACTTTCATTATTCAATATGTTATTCATAATATATTTTGTTTTATTTTCTTCAAATATTCTTATTGCTACTAGTAATAATACACAAAATATAATTAAATTCGATGAAGATACTTTGAAGAAATTAAAAATACCATCAAATCAATTATCATCATTTATTTCCTATCAAGATTATGAATTATTTAATGAATTTCAATGTGCTATTGAATGTATTAAAGATAAAGATAATTGCAATGCTTATTCATATGATGGCACAACTAATCAATGTTCATTATATCATGATTCAAATAAAATAATTGATGATAATGTGACTAAATTGGTATCGTATTAAAATTTAATGAAAAATTTTATTTAATCTTTTAAAATATCTAGAGAGAACAATTAAAAACAAATGTATGTGATAAAGTTAAATGTAAACCGGATGCTGTTTGTATTGGAGAAACTGAAGCAAAATGTATTTGTTTAAATGGAGCAGAAACACCTGATAATTGTGATCAAATAGAAACCGGTGTATGGAGTGATTTTAAAGATTGGTCTGTATGTAGTTCAACATGTGGAGAAGGTTATCAATTTCGAAAACGAGATTGTTTATCAGAAAATGATAGAAATAAAAAAATATCAAATGAACATTGTATTGGTAAAGATACTGAAACTCAACTATGTGTTATTAAAGCATGTCCAAGTAATTAGATTTTATTTTTGTTTTTGAAAACAGAATTAATTTTTTGATTTTAAAGCATATGGACCATGGACAACATGGACACCTTGTTCAACATTCTGTGGTATTGGTATGAAACAACGTAATCGTTCATGTGTTCCACCTGGTTCAACTTGTGGAAATTATACATATGAACAACGAGCGTGTGGTGAAGCAAATTGTCAACGTGTTGTTGGTAAAATTCAATTTTTTAATTAAACTCACATTTTTGTTTTCTCTTATGATTAGGTATCAAAGAAACAGAACCTAAAAAATTTCCAATGAAAGGTTATTTAGCTATACGAGAAGGTGATATTTTATGTATACCACAAAGCAATAATGAAACAGCTAAGCATATGGCTGATTTAGTAAGATAAAAGATTTCTTAAGAAAATAATCATATAAAATTTATTTAGGTTTGTAAATCAGTTGGTTCTACTCGTGGAGCTCAATATGGTAAATAAATTGTTAAATTTTATATTCTTAATTATTTTTGTATTTTTTCTAAGCTATTCTTACACCAATTGGAGCGAATTCAACTTGTTATCCTGGTATTTTATGTGATGGTACAGAAACTAGCTTTCATGATTGTAAATATCAACGATCACAAACTACAATTACTACAAGTGATCTATTTGCAATTATTACACGTTGTATCGGTAAGATTTGATCGATAAATATAAAACAAAACAAAAAGAAAATGAGTACATTTTTATTTTAGTTGACGGTGGATTTTCCTCATGGTCTGATTGGTCAACATGTACAAAATCATGTGGTAATGGTGAATCAACTCGTTCTCGAACATGTACACAACCATCACCATCAATACTTGAACCTGAATTGAATTCTATTAATTCTTCATTAAATGGAATGAACTGTACAGGAGATTATACACAAGTTAAAACTTGTAATAAACAAAAATGTTAAAAAACAAGAAAATTTTTTCTCTTTTTCTTCTCTTCATTTACAAATAAATATATTTATTTAAGAAATAATCAATGAAAATGTTCATTTACTGTCCATACACGATTATTAATTGTAATTCGTTTATGTTTATACATAGCAAATGACCCACGAAATGATGAATTTGTTGCAGCATATAATATAGGAAATAATACTGATTTAAGTATAAGAACATAATATGCTATTTGTAAAGCACGTTGAATTTGTTTTGTATTATAAAATATAATTAAAATTCGAATTGTAATCCATGGTAACCATAGACATATAAATGTTAAACTTAATACAACAACATGCCATGTCATTTTTTTTTGTTCAACATAATGTTTACGTTCAATTGCATCAAGTCCTCTTGGTCTTGATTGACATAATTTATGTATAAGAAATAAAAGACCAATAAAATTAAATAAAAGTGGTATAGAATATATTAAACCAATTTCTGTATAAACCATCCATAGTGGATGATAAATTGATGTTGTATATGTTGTACAATAAGACGTTATATTTGATGAGGATGATGTTATGACTAATAAATAAGTTGAAGAATTAATCATCAATGGAATACCATAGAATAAAAATATAGCAATCCATGTTGTTAATATTAATAGAATAAGATAACGACGTTGAATTCTTGTAAATCTTTGATTTAAATCATATAAACGAGTATACACCATATATGTAATTGTATAAATAACAGAAGCTAATGCACATGATTCACCAATAGTTAATGCAGTACATAATTTTGATGTTAATGAATCTCCATAAGCACTTATAAAACGCATAGGAAGAACGAAACTTCCAATAAATAAATCAATAAATGCCATACCTAATACAAATATATGTGACCAATGTTTTCCATCAGCACGAACAAAGTATGTTATAAATACACAAATCTAAATTGAATATATAATTGTCTATATATTTATTAATTATAGAAATCTAAAAAAGAAAACTTACATTTCCAATAATAATAGCAGCAATAAATACCAGTAAAGAAAGTTTTTCTGGTATTGATGATGAATCTTCGTAGTCAACTGTCATAGTACTGTCTACACTCATGATAAAATGAACTAAATAGTTTTTTTAATATAAAAGTGTTGATTTATATTCTTTTATATAATTGATGTGGGTGGATACGTGATTATTTTTTATTTTACACTTTACTTTTGAAAGAAATGACGTTTTAACACGTAATTTATATAAATGAAATTCTTTTTAAATTTTAAAATTTATTCCGATAGATGAGAAGAAAAAAAACCGAGTAGTAAATATTTACTTATTTAACAATGTTGACGATAATACTCTAATATAAATATATATTGTTCAATGTGCCAATTGTTTTAATATTAATCATATTGATTAGAAAGTAACACGTAGTCTAACTCACTAATTAGAAAAAAAAAGTATGATATTTTCTATAGATCATCTTATAGTTGCTATGATATTGTTTGTGTTTTTAAGATACTACCACTCTAATATAAAATCAAATAGTAATGCTATAATTTCCGATTATTTCATGAACTAAAACAATTATTTTTTATTGCTAAATTAATATTTGTCACGATCCATTTATAAACTATAATATGCAGCTAATAGATATTGTATAAAGAAAAGTAATGTCGTTTGAAGTATGATTGGTTTATTTGACAAACATTAAAAGTAATGTACTGTTGGTCAACACTTGAAAATGTTATAGAATTGAAAGTCAATTTTAAAAGCAAAATTGATTTCATTTTACATCAGTAATGGATATATATAGAGTGTACACAAAGAAACGATCAGAATTTGGTCGTCCATTATATTTTACAGATCGACCTACAGAAATAATTGCTGATATTCGACCTAATATTCGTCTATCTCGTAATTATAATGTTTCTAAATCTGTTCAATGTGGTGTACAAAACGTACAAAAATTTGCAGAACATTGGGTATGATGTATCATAAGAATAATTTGTTTTTATCAATCTAAAGAATTTCAGGTAAATACAATTCCATTTGAAACAGAACATCAAGGTATTAATCATGTCAAAGGTGGTTGGCCAAAAGATATAGATCCAATTAATGTAGATCAAACAGCACGTTTTTTGAAACGAATAGAAAAAGATGAAAATTACATATCTACTATATTATCTCTTGGAAAAGTAAAAATTTTCTTCGTTTTACTAATATAATCAATTTCATTTAGTTAGTGGAACATACAATTAAACAAAACAATACTATTAATATCTATGAAGATTATTTTACAAGTTTAGGATCAAATGTAGTCGAAGAAGTACCATATGTTAGAACACTTAATACTTTTCGGTAGAATTAAAGACAGAGGTTATATTTTTGTATTTCAAATATTTCAAATTCTAGTGATCCTCAAAATCCTCAAAGAACAGCTAATCATATATCATGGTGTGGTAATGGAGGAGAAAAACTAGCTGTTGCCTATTGTAATCTTGAATTTCAATCAAATACAAAAGATTTGTCTAATGATTCATATATCTGGGATATTGGTATAAAAAAGGATATTTTATTTCTAAAATTTATTTAATCATTCATTTACAATAGAATATTCATCTGAACCTGATTATATTTTAAAATCAATTTCTTCACTTGTTTGTGTTGAATTCAATACAAAAGATAAAAATCAACTTATTGCTGGATGTTATAATGGTCAAGTTTGTAAGTTTAACAATGAAATTTTCTTAGAGAAAATAATATAAATAAAATGTCTAGGTATATTCGATACACGAAAAGGTAGTACAGCTGTTGAACAATCCCTTATTGAAAATAGTCATCGTGATCCAGTTTATAAAACAATATGGTTACATACAAAATTAGAAACAGAATTTTTTTCTGCTTCAACAGATGGCAAAGTAAGATTAAATACCATTCATTTTAAAATCATTGTTATATATTTAGATTTTCTGGTGGGATACAAGAAGACTATCAGAACCAGTTGAAACATTAATATTAGATATTGATAAAAAAGGTCGAACAGAAAATAGTTATGGTGCTATGTCATTAGATTATGAACCAACTATGGTAAGTTAAAATTATTGATTCAATTTTAATTGAAAACTATTAATACATCAGCCAATGAAATTTATGGTTGGAACTGAACAAGGTTCAATTGTTGCATGTAATCGTAAAGGACAAACCAATGCAGATAAAATTGGGCATGTTTATGCAGGACATTCAGGTCCTGTTTATGCGCTTCAACGTCATCCACATTGTTTAAAAAATTTTCTATCTATTGGTGATTGGACTATTCGTATTTGGTCAGAAGAAGTACGAGATGATTGTATCATGTTAACCAGGTAATATCAATAGATTTAATTATATATTTAATAAAATATGATCTTTTTTTATTTTTTCAAGACCAAGTATGTATGCTCTTACCGATGGACAATGGTCACCATCACGATCTTCGATATTTTTTACAACTAAAATGAATGGTAAAATTATGTTGAATATGTACAACATGTGCCTTTTTTTCTTTTTACAGGAACATTGGATATTTGGGATATATTATTTAAACAAAATGAACCGACAGTATCAGTTAAAGTTACGAATGAACCTCTTCATTGTCTACGTGTACAAGAACCTCATGGTCGTCTTATTGCTTGTGGTTCACAGAATGGTACTGTAACATTACTTGAACTCTCAAATAATTTATGTGTACAAAGAAAAAATGAAAAATCTTTGGTTAACGGAGTAAATATTGAAGAATAATAAAGATATTTCTTTTCTATTGATTTTTTTTATTAGATGTTCGATCGTGAAACAAGACGTACAAAAATTCTTGAAGCTCGAAGTCGAATGAGACGAGATGTTCAAGAAAAATCAACAAATATTGAAGTAATAGCTGGAAAAATAACAGATGAATACGTATTAAAAGAACGTGAACTAGTCGAAAAAGCTGAAGAAGATTTTTGGAGAATTATTAATGAAGAAAAAAATAAGTAAATAATAGTTCTTTTTTTATTCTAACCGATAATTTTTCTTTTCTATAGATTGATGAAAAAGGAACAATAAATACATCAATACAAATTTCTCATTTATTCATATTAATTTAGAAAAAAAATTATTAAAAATAAAAATTTTCTTTTTACTATTGTTGTATATATTCTATTTCTTTGTTTTTTTCTGAAAGGTGTGGATGCGTGTATGGTTTAGAGGAGAGACTGCAACCACACGCATCCTAGTATTAAAGATCAATGGAGATATTGCGAATCATTTCTAATACAGAATATTGATTAGATGAATAATAAGAAACTACATTGTCACTACTGACACGATTTGATCGCCTATTGTTATTGTGATGTACTTTTTATTTTATTGTCCTATTTACTAGTATTTTTATGTATTTCGAGTACATTGAATATTTTTTATTATAAAAAATGAGTGTCATCAATATGAGAAGATTGAAATATGACATATTGTTATTGCATATGTCATTCTTAAAAGGCATTAAATTTTTTTCCTATTATAGTGAATATTTCTCACAGTGCTTATTATCTAAAAGAATACATTGGTGATTTGGAATGATGTCAATGAATTATCTTGTTGTACTTTTCTTGTTTACACAAATGTGAGTACCTATTCTTTCGCTTTCCTTAATACAATAACGAACATGAAATGACTGAGATTAATTGAATAAATAATTTGATTTTTATTTGTTACTAATCCACTTGATAGAACGATTCTCTACAATAGTTAAGTTCGATATAGTAAGCGTTTTTGTTGCAATTTTCTGTGTTAGATAATTATTAAATCAAGGAAAAAAATCAGCCATAGAAAGAGAGAGAAAGACATTGTAAAAGATGTGATGAATGAAAAGAATCGAACTTCTTCATATTTGAGAGTTAATTAATTGCATACCTTTTTCATTTCATTGTAGGGTCTCCAACGCAGCTGAATCAGGTATTTATACTGTACTGAAAATAGTGCGTCTTCTTCACATTTTTTTTTCATTTGGTCATATTCTTGACGAGTATGAACTAAAACTATATGAAATGTACTTCGAATACTGTCAAGTTTATCGTTTGTAGGGATTCTCATTCAGTGCGAGAAACATAAATTGTTTAATCTAACCTATACGACTTCATCAATTAATTCTATACCACTAATTCCATACCAAAACTCTGGAATGCGTTCATTTATACTTCTTCCATAGCTCTTGAAATGAAATTAGAAATCTTTGAAATAAAGACTGTATACATCTCAAACCTCATAATCGAAATAATCCTTCAGTTAACTCTACCTGCTAACACAACTCTGAATCGAGATTGTTTGTATATCACTAATATTATAATACTAATTTCTACTTCAATTTTGTTTATGTCAAGATCAACTCTGCTCGATTCTAGCGAAGTTCTTGTTATTGGTGGCCAGGGACCTACCGGTTATTTGACTGAATGTGAAATATATGAGCCATTAGCTGGTCAATGGCACACTGCTGCGAGTATGGCAATACCACGAAAATGGCATACTGCAACGTTACTCAAATCGGGTCAAGTTTTAGTCACAGGTGGCACCACCACTGAGTCAGACGTTCTTGTGAATAGTACTGAAATATATGATCCATTAACGGACAAATGGAGTCATAGTGCAAGCATGAAAGCAGCACGATCTGAGCATATTGCAATTCTACTGAGTTCAGGCAAAGTACTTGTCTTTGGTTCTGGAATTAGTTCTGAAATATATGATCCATCAACGGATCAGTGGAACCCTGTTGCAAGTATGAAACCACCAGCACGTTATTATTCTATTGCGGCTCAGCTCAAGTCAGGTAAAGTTCTTGTTACTGGTGGCGTCCGATCAGCTATGTATCAGGCTGATTGTGACATATATGATCCATCAACAGACCAATGGGATACTATTGCAAACATGACAGCACCACGTGCTGCTCATACTGTAATTTTGCTCAATTCAGGCAAAGTTCTTGTCACTGGTGGTGAGACAAATGACCAAGTGTTGGCTAGTTGTGAAATATATGATCCATATACAGGCAAATGGACCAATGTTCCTAGCATGATAGAAGAACGTTCTTCTCATACTACAACCTTGCTCAAGTCAGGAAAAGTTCTTGCTACTGCTGGGGAGGGACTTATCCATGCTCTGAAGAGCTCTGAAATATACGATCCATCTACAGGCAAATGGAATTCCAGTGCACGTTTATCACTATCACGTGCTTCTCATACTGCAACTCTACTCAATTCAGGCAACGTTCTTGTTGTTGGTGGTCAATAAATAGATAGTTAAATTACCACTCTCCATCCAAACAACAATAGCATATGATGATTTTTTCGTTAACTTAATAATAAAAATAGTTAGAGAGGCAGGTGTGCTAATATCAATATTATCTTGCACTGATCATCCTTGTTATTCTCTTTCTCATATATAAGTGTGTGTGTTGTATTGTGAACTAATTACAGTCTGAAGATGTAAAGTAGCTCAATAAACTTTACTAAGCTTGTCGTTACAGCGTGGTTTCTGATGTCTAAAGAGGAGTGGAGAGTGTGGGTGTCAGTAAACAAGAAATAACCTCAATCACACCCACACTCACACCCTCAAGAAATTTCATTGGTGAGCAATTAGAGAACATATTCATAATGATTACAACTTAATAAAGTGATATAGATTATAATGATAATAAATGTTTTATATTCGTTATGACAATTCTTGAAATATATATATATATATCAAATAGATTTTCGAATATGAAATGATTATAATTAAGATTATATGTATTGTTGTACGTTTAAGAAGAAATTTTGTTAAATAATTTAAATATTTATTTTTACTTAGTAAAAATTCGAATAATAATTCATGCAATTAATAATACAATCTAGAAGGTGTGGGTATGTTTGTTAGTGAGTTCTGATTGATTCACACCCGAGAAATGGCTCAAATAATGTAAACAACAGGATATAATGTTATATTTGAGTTTAACCTTGTTAAAAATTCTCTCTGTAATACTAACAGAGCGCAAATAATGACGGACATAAAAAATCATTAAGAGTAACTCAATTTTTTCTTCGTTCTCTTTTGGTGACATTTTTTATTTGCGCTCGTTCATATATATATGTGTACGAGGTTATCACTGGTACAATATTCAACTCTTCAGATGTAAAAGAAAATATATGCATGCTTGGGGCTTTTTCTTCGTCCTTCTTTCAACATATAGGAAAGAGTATTTCTTTTCTTTTCTTCTTCTGATTTAAGTGTAGTCAAAATTACTACACCGTTGTAACATTCAAATATTGATCAGCGCATGATCAACAATTTTTTTTAGAGCACGTTGTCAAGCTTGATAACACATTATAGTGATAATTACAATCATGTTAGGTACAATACCACATATTCGATAGTTTTGTCGTTAAACAGACTGATATGTCTACCCGAAAATACCGTTTAGCTGCACCGACTGACAACGATAAGATAGATATATCACATAGATCCGTACCATATTCTTCCCCTGTCTGGCTACCGACACCAAATAACGTTTGTACAAAGCCTGAAAAAGCACTTCTACACACCAAACCATTTATTCCACCTGCTCGTTGGTGGATTGTGCTACCATTACTGTTACTCTCTGTATTTATTGCCGCTGCAGATCCAGTAATTACGAATGATTTTATCGTGCGACGTTACGAACGTCAATATGGACTTGATGCATCTCCAAATACACAACGTCAAGTCTGTCGCCAGTCGGTGAGCACTTCTACTGCAGGATACTACCGGCAATATCTCTTGTACCGTTTAGAGTTATCACAACGTCAATCAGATTACGCCTTAGTACAACGTGCTGCCGCGAAACTTCATACAAAACTCTCAGTTGCTTCCCTCATTCCTGGTTTTCTCTCTTTCATCTTGCTTGGATCAAATTGTGACACCATTGGACGTCGACCGTTATTGATCCTACCACTCGTAGGCAAAGTGATACGGCATTCGCTAATGCTAATCATTGTCTCATGAGATTTGTCCGATACTTGGTTGCTAGTTGCTAACGCAATCGAAGCATCGATTGGCTCTAGCGGCTTAGTGTTGTTGAGCTCCTTTGCATATATCACCGATTGTACCGGTGGATCGTTAAGAACACGTGCTTTTTTGATAATTGAAGGAACGGCATTTCTCATTCGTGTCGTGCCAGTACTAGCAATAGGCATTTGGTTACGATTCTATCTTTATATTGTGCCACTGAGTGTTTGTCTAGGGATAAGTGTCATAGCACTACTCTATGCACTATTCATACAACCTGAGTCCGTAGAAAGCGTGTAAGTATAGGAGAAGAGAAAGAAGGTTAGAAATATCAGATCTATCTTTTGTTGATAGACGAAACATATCTATCATACAACAATTGGCGCGCATTCGTCTCAAGCCGATCGTAAGTATCGTCACGGTATACACTATCAAACGTTTCAATGGCAAACGGCAGCGACTGATAATAATCACAATTATTCTTATTTTACTGCAAATGATGTTATTTGGCTATTTATCTATATTTTCACTCTATTTATACGGTCAGCCTCTGTGCTTAGATGCACTTAATGTTAGCTTGATTTCTTCCATTCAAGCGGCAGTTGTTTTTCTGTTGAGTATGCTCACGGCACTGTGCAAAGAATCATTTGAACGAACATATTGGTCACCAGCACTAGGCTCACTAGCTGTTATTGTTAATCTAATCATCTTAAGTTTTGCAAAGAAAATATGGCTGGTTTACATAGGTCAGATCATTTTGATGCTCGTATTACCTTCTATTCGTCGTTGTTTGTCTTTCCTTTTTTTTATCTAGCCAGTTGCATTGGTAGCTTATTCTTTATTACCTTACCTGTACTTCGATCAAAACTAACTAGAATGATTGAAGTTAATGAATACGCTATTGTATTTATCGGTGCAGGTGTCATCGAGGTGCTCGGTCATTCAGGATTAGGAATCGCAGGCAATAGTATCTATAATGCTTCAATGAACTTCTTTCCTGGGCTGGTTTTCATCGTTTTTGCCTCCGTTGGATTGCCTCCCATAGCTTTAATAGGGTATAGTTACTGTTTAGTATGCATAATCTTATCTTTATTTCTTTTAGTTATTTGGCTCTTTTGGAAAGACATGCATCTAGAGATTCAAACGTGGATGCACGGCTAACATATGATGAGGACATGTAAATTTTGTATGTCTATTTATTTCGTTGTAATTAAGTTATTTTTGAATACAAGCAATATGTTTACATATCAAATTTTAGTCTAGAACACAAGAAGAATATTTTGACAGTGGATTTAGGTGTGGGTGGGCATGGACGTGGATAAAAGAAGAGTAAAGCGCCCACGCCCAGCCAGTTTAAGATTTAATAAGCATCCATCCTGTCACATTATTTTTCGCTGACAAAAAAAAGAAAACACAAATGTTCATAAAATATAGAATGTTTGCATAGGTTGCATTAATCAGTTCATTTGGAATTCATAAAAAATACTTCTGGATAGACTGCGTCCGTCGCAATATCATTCCCATCTCAAACGATATTCTTCTGCTTGATCGAGGAACGACTGAATAAGGGCTTTTGATGCCGTACGTGTCATGGAAGAGGATATGTCTACTTGGCTGGCTATGTCTTCGTTCTCAAAAACAAAGATCTTATCTTCGACTAAAGTTATACCAAATCCCATTCCTAATGCTTGTTCAAAAATAACAGAAGGCCAAATATCATTCTGAGTTTCCGTGTAGGCACTAATTAGTTCAAAGAGAGATGTTCTATAGAAGACATAATTACATGTGGTAAGCTTTCTCAGTATATTTGTATTCAGTTTGGAAAGAACAGCACTATTTAGTTGTAAACTGCGTAACACAGAAATCGCTTTCTGTTGAACATCATCAGATGGGTCGTCTACTGCAAGCAGTAAACAATTGAGTACTTCCGGTGTAGTTTTCTTTTGACCTAATTCTCCAAGAGCTCTAATGACATCGCATCTTACACGGGAATCTTGGTCCCGTGGCATTTGGATCAATATATTAATCACTTCAGGAGTTGGATTTTTTTTTACTAATATCTCAAGAGCATAAGCTGCACGCCATTTTAAATCACTATCTTGTTCCTTCATTGCCTGGAGAAGACCAGTGATCACTTCAGGTGTGACGGCCATGACACCCATGACACCTAACCTTTCAATAACCGAAGCAGCACGAAATTGTTTACCACTTTTTTTGTCATTTAGAGCTTCTAGTAGTCCACTGATCACTTCAGGTAGGACAGTCTTGCCGCGTGATACTCCTAGAACCCATATAGCATTTTCTCGAACATGTGGACTTTGATCACTCAGGATTTGCAGTACTTCATTTATCACTTCTGATGTAGATGCGTTCGCTTCTAATCCATGAAGAGCCAATACTGCACTACATCTTACATCATAATTTGGATCCTTTAAAACTTCGACTAGCCTATCAGTCACTTGAGGCAAAGCTACCGTGCGACATAGCTGTCCAAGAGCCCTAACCGCATATATTCTGATAGTTTTATTTTCGTCCTTCGAGACTTGCAATAGTTGACTTATTATTTCAGTAGTTACTGATTTGTCATTCAACTTTGGAAGAACCGAAACTAAGCATTCCCTTACACGATAATCTGAGTCTCTTAGTGCATTTAACCAAATGTTGATTATTGGAGGCGATGAGGTTGCTTTAATCAGCGTTTTCAAGCTTAGCCTAACATTTCCATCTTCATCTTCGTCTTCACATTTCAATGCTACTAGTAAGGTGTTGATCGCTTCGACGGTAGCTCCTTTTTCTCCCAATTTTTGAAGAAGAAAATGTGCACAACCTCTTACATTACGATCTTTGTGCTTCGTTACTGCAAGTATCGGTTTGGTCATTTCGGTTATAGCTTGGTCTTCCACTAATCCTTTAAGAGTGCAATAGGCACATGTTTGAAATTCTTGACATTTAAGCATTTCCAGTAAGCTGTTGATCGCATGAAGAACGAATCTTTCAGTAATCAGTTTACGAAGACTTCCAGCGGCAGCCCATCTGACTTCATCAACTCGGTCTTTGAATAGTAGCAGTAATTCATCAATCACTTCGATTGTGGCTTCTTTATTACCTATTTGTTTAAGAACGGAAGCGACAGGCCCTCTAACATGATGATCATTGTCTTTCAGTGACCGTATTAACATATTAATCACCTCAGGGGATGGCTCTTTAGCGATTAAAGCCCTCAAACTTGACTTAGCGTTGGATGTGATACCGTTATCTTGGTCTTTCAGTGTTTGCAGTAGTTTGGCGATTATTACAATCGTGACATCCTTGCCACCTAACTTTCCGAGAGCTGCAACTACGTTTCTTTTGACATTACTATTTTGATCTTCTAGAGCTTGCAGTAGTCCATTTAAGACTTCAGGCATAAATGCCTTGTCACCAAATTCTTTGAAAGTCGAAGCGACATTTTCTCTAACATTTTCATTTTTGTCCTTCAGCGCTACGAGTAGTCCATTTATTACTTCAGCGGTAACTGCCTTATCACCTAATCTTCCAAGAGCCAAAGCGACATTTTTTCTAACATTTTCATTATTGTCCTTCAACGCTACAAGTAGTCCATTTAATACTTCAATAGTAACCGCTTTGTGATCTAATTCTCCAAGAGCTAAAGCTACATATTCTCTTACAAGACGATCTTCATCTTTAAGTGCATTCACCAAGGTGACGATTACTGTAGGTAAGAGATTATTCCGAACTACTACTTGAAGAGCTGAACCAACAATGTGTCGTATCTCAATATTTTGGTGCTTCAAGACGCACAGCACTGTGTTGAGCAGTTGGGATGTGAGTTTTGTTTTGACCAACCCTTCAAGAACCGAAGCAGCTATAGATTGAGTTTTATGATCCGGATCATTTATTGCCATTACCAAGGTATTGATCAATTCTGATGTAATTGCCGCTTCTGTCAGAGAACTTGCAATATTTCGTGCTGTTGTACTTTTCATCTTAAATGCATAACTTAGAATATCATTAATTAGTTGTGATCGTTGTACGAAAAGATTGCTTCGTAGCAGATGAATAATTTTATCTGATACTGCAGCTTTCTTTGACAGGCAAGTTTTAAAGCAATCTGCGATTTTATTTAATAGCAAATCACGCAGAGGAAATACATTTCTCCCACCTGTCTCGTCCAGACACGTAATAACTAATTCCATATGTCTCATGCCTACCAAATCAAGTGGCTGCGCACAGAAAACGTTCCAGAATATTTCCATATATAATGATGACGGCTTTTCTATGACTAGACCAGACATAAACGAATATAAAAGTTGATATCGTTTGTTGTATTTTTGAATTTGGATGAACTGGATCGTCTCGTCCATATTATGAATAAGATTATCTGTTAAATATTGTGCGGCAAAGTATTGTTGAAAACTCGAATGAATAAAAAAGTAAACCTGTTCCATCTCATGTATCTTGCTACATTCGCTTCGAGCTAAACGTTTAAGGATACCGATTTTATTCAGTTTGTTTGCTACTGCAGCTCTGTTGGCTGGATCTGGTTCGATTTTTCTTAATGCATTTTGTATTATTTCTTTCTTTAAATGCAACATATTTCGTTTCATTCCTTCAAATGCAATTGTTTGTAACAGTAACATTTCTTGTTTACAGTTTTCATATATCTCATCATTGGTCATATAGCTCGTATCAATTGTTTGATTTTCTAAAGAACACCGTAATAGGTGCTGAATGATATTACTATAAAGTGAAGTCAGTGTCATTCGTGTGGCTGTAGGGAAATATTCACTATTCCATAAATTACAGATGAGACCAAGAATGATTGGTTCATGTGCGATAGCCCATATTTTTGGATGACTTTTTAGAAAAGCCATTAATGCTTCAACAAGCAGGTGTTTAGTCTCTATCCTACTGTTGTCTCCCAGTTGATCGAAAAATTGATGCACGTATTTGCTAATATCTGTATCTGTGAAACCTATAGAATGTACAACAAAAGTTATAACCTTGATTTGATTTATTGGCTGCTGGACCTGGAGTGGCATCGAAGCTAGGGTTTTTCAATTAACGTCAGAGCTCGAGCGGGGTCGGTTCGTATCTTTTTTCTAGTTTTTTCATACACTCTTTTTTCGCCTCTTGTTTTATGTAATTAAGTACACAAGTATCGGTGAAAAAAAGCCCGTTATCATTTATTAATGAAACATGGTATAACGGCCTTGTTTGTCAGTCATGAACAGTGTGTTAATTCCATGAATAATCGCTCATTCACAATCCTGAACAAAGGTTTACTGGCCTGAGCTATTATTAGTTTTGATATGTACGAAAACGATCTTGAGATAGAGTGGAATTCGATTATATAAAACGTCCGAACAAGGGGATAAGCGAACCCTGTGATCCTCAAGATCTGAGGATATTGATGTGGGTATATCATATCTATGGTACTTCATCCATACTCATGCCATACTCTATCGTCCTCAATAGATATATACATATGTATTTATAGGACGGAAAATTGACTAAATTTTATCTATCATAAAGTAGTCAAGAGACCTCTTTTGCAGGAACCAAATCGAGATTTTTCAAGCGAAACCTGAACGAAAGCGGAGTCGGCTGGAAAGTGTCTTAACCCATAGCGGGATCGGAGCGAAGTGTGTGGATAATGGTTGCAGCTAGAGCTAAGCTGCCTATCTATGGCCAGTCCTCTGTCCAAAATTACATTTAGTAATAGTTGTATGAAAATAATTATATCGGGTTAAAAGAACTCTTCTTAGACTGCACTCTACACTGAAAAGTAGTTGAAGGACGGGCATATTCTTCTTTTTCGAAAATCTCAGAGGACATCTCATTCCATTATTGTTCAATTATTATAGTTGAAACAAATACACAGAAAATGCAGTTATAAACCTTAAAACTGATAAAATAGGATTTCCACTATTTTTTTTTAAAACTACTGTATAAAAGCGTACTAGTATGGATATATACTCGAGTTGAATAGATCTATTTATTAACAAAATTTTTGAGTGATCGTTGGTTGGTTTAAGAGAAAAAACGCTATTCATTGGAAAATACGTGTGGGTCGTATCTTTCAGCTTTTTCGCTCATCATAATATCAACTGCTCGAGCTTGATGCATTTATCGTATCAGTCCTCAATTTGGGAGCCGTCACGGATAATTGTGTCTTTTACATATAGCCCAAAAATTTCAAGAGATTTGCATGCAAATCCTTTCAGCTATATGAGTCATAGCATGAACTACTTTGGAAAGCTTCGCTTAACCAAGTTCTTCTTTACAAATTAGATTGATAGCTGTCGTCTCTGTTGTTTCTCACAAACACATACAATAACGAATAAAAAAATTACCTTCTGAATATACAGCGATGTATATAGTTGAGGATGATCCGTGTTCAGACTTTCCGAATTTGCTTTCGAGAAGAGTAACTCTAAAAATATGTAATTATAAACATTATGTAGAGAAGTTGCTAGAAAAATTTCTGCGGAACTAGAAGGTGAAACATGATATAAGTGCTGCTACGAGTAATAAGATCTATGTGACAAAATGTTTTATGTCACTATGTTACAAATTCGACTCTGTCTAATTTATTGTATAACAATATCATACTATTGCTCAAAACTTTCCATCCTATCCATAAACTTCTGAATTTGTCTTCCAGTACTTCATATCAATACACAGTAAGTTTTAAGTATGAGGCTATGTTTATCACTACCTAGAGAAGGATGGTTAATAATTTCAAATTTATATTTTGGAAGACAACGATTCTGCTTGAAATGTAGAAATAAACACAATGGATAGTTTCTCTGGCAATCGACTGTTTTTCGAAGACAGTTGTCATCTGCCTAGTATATTTACTTCCTGTATCTAATGTTAGCGTAATAGCGGTACAGACGACATATAGTTTTGACACTATAATCTGAAAGTAGTCCCGCTCTTAAGTTTTTTCTATCGAAGTAAATTTCAAATCAATTGTGGTATTAGAGGAAATTTATTATTCAAATTGTTTAAGAATATCCACTCAACTCTTTTATATTAGATCGAAGCATATGGGCTATACGTACGTGTGCCATTCATTCGTTTGTGAACTTCGATATTTCAAACCAATTATACCTGGGAATTGTGAATTTAGTGTTGCCAAGGACACGCAGTTGTCTCTGTCCACCTCTATTTCAGTAACTTCGTCATCTTCAGACTTTACCACTGTAATAAATATACTTGGTTTTCCTGAAACTCAAACAATATTTTTATGTTACATAATGATTTTTATGAAAATCCGACTTGACTGCACTACAGATAATACATACTCACAAAACGATTAAAATCATGTAATGAAGGTATTTGCCAAATGATATTAACTTCGTCCGTAAAGTAACTTAAGATGCATGATTTAGGAACTATTATCCTCTTCACTGAGATTCTATATCGACTGTCGGTGGACAGTTGTCTATAAATGACTAAACTAAAGATTCTCGATCTGTTTCCGAGTTTAATGCGTGCCTACTTATCACTCTTGTTCTACATTTATGAGTAGTAATCATATTACATTTTTCTATTTTATATCGTCTTATTGTCTCAGATTTTTTTCCTTACTTATGTAAGTCTTGAATATGTACGATTTTAGAATA